TTGTGGAATATATTATGGATTGACTCGTACATGTCCTGAACATAGCACTGGTGGTGAGAACCATCCAGTTTATAAACTCAAATACTTCCACCCCTGGAAATCACTGTCAGTGAAATATTTGGATGAATGTTGATGAGGATCCCACAGAATAATACTAAACATCTGATGTTAATGCCTTAGAGAAATTGAAAGGTTTAACCCTGTTGTGATCAGTGGGATCTTCCTTTAACTTGTTCTCTGTCAGATCTCTTTCTCACTTTGAGAGGATTCTGACTCCAGCTCTGGATTATTATTCTGTGTTGCTGTTCTTCCTTTGGATGCTTATTATATGGTAGAAATTGTACGCAATAATTCTGCTCAAGTTAAGGCATTAGTTTGTGAACACATATCTTGAAATTGTGAACGATTCCCTCATAACGTGGGTCAAGAAAACCAAGAATTCTTCAAAGGACATATTTATGATATGAGTCATTGAGAATGTACTGAACTGCAAAGTCATGGTGCCTTGGAAGTCAGATTTCCCAAATTCATATTTCATAATTAGAGAACAAGACCCTTCTTCCATTGTTATTATCAGACATCATTTCTAATTTCACTAGATCTTTTCATAGCACTTACATTACCTGAGTAATGCACAAAACTCACACTGGATTAGCATTGCCAACTGATTTATTAAGTTCAGCCTTTTTTATTCATAACTTTTATCTCAGTAGGATAATGGAGAACCAAAATAATTAGTTCATACATTCAACTTTGCCAGTAAAAACAGTACATCTGTCCCATCACAAAGAATATGTGTCAAAATGAATAAAATTTACTTAATGGGATGAAAGATAGGCAGCAGCCTGGTGTGGCCATTTCTCCTGGCCATACAAATTGGAAACTGAAATCTTGTGTGCTTGGGAACCGAAGTACATGAATTCCTTTAGAGATGGGGGTCTTGGGGAGTGGTTCACTGATGAAATGATTGTTGCTCCCCAGCCTTCCAGTGCAGGAGGTCTGCCTGAAGGCACAGCTGAGACCCAGGCTGACAGTGATGCTGATCTCAGTACTCTTTGCCTGGGGATTGGGATTTACAGCTGACACTCACATTATTATGTCATACTGTTATTATGTCATATTTTAGCTAGTATTATTTATTTGTTTTTATATTTTGAAACAGATCTAAAGAAAGCCAATTGACTGGGATTAATTATTGGTTGGTGGTAGCGATGAGCGTTTCAAGGTACAGGAGAAGGCTTTCACATCCTTTTAGTTCCTCAGGCAAATCTATGCTTGTGTGCCGTACTGCCTTCTCAAGCAGTGATAGTCTGTTACTCTGTGTACACCTGTACCAACTTCCAGGTTTATGTTAATAACTCATGAACCTCAGATTGCCTGGAATAAGTTTTTGGAAATAAATCTTTGTTTAATCCCTGCAATTTCCTATCTGGTTGTTTTGGAATTTTGTTTTGTTGCACCCGTTCCCTCAAGGATGAGCAGCAACCTCTGCATCAGAAAATAAAAGCTGTCATAGAGAACTGGTAAGAAGAAAAGCTGGGGCAGACATTTTGTGGCATGAGGTGTGGGAGCAGATGGCTCCTTCAGGGAGATTTACTTTCCTGGAATATGATGGATAATTCCAGATATGTTCAAATTAAGTCATTGGGCAATGAGAACATCTCCTATCCATGCTACACTAGAAGAGGCTGCCTCTTTTAAGCCAGTACACTGGTAGACCATTGACTTCTGATAATATATTACTCAATATTTTTTGCATATTGCAAATGTTCTCATTATTCACGTTTCTCAAGTGTAAGAAGATTCTCCACCACTGCTGCAAATTGATTGATGCTTTATTTAATTCACTACTGGTTCCCATGTTATAGTCCTTCTACCCACGATTTCTTGCCTGACCACTGAGCTGGCAACTACACACCTGTGCACGTACCTCTCCCAGGCCATTGGTTCAGGTGCAGCTGAAATCATTGTTATGGGTGTGTTCAACAAGTCATATCACACTGTCAGTGCGTATTTTCTCCCCCTGTCCTTCTGAGGAGAGGAAGTAAGAAAACAGTGTGGTAGAGTCTGGCTGCCCATCAGTTGCTAAGCCCTCACTCTCTTCTTGAAGTTCGCATTAGCTGCTGAACTGTCTTGGGTCTTCTCAGTATTAATGGATAACAAATTTTTGTAAGGTATGTTACAAAAGCAGAACACAATGGGAGCAGTTAAACAGAAATTAACCTATCTGAAGAGTCTGAAAGAGTTATTGGTGGCTGCAGTCAATTCTGGGGCTGTTTAAAGCAGCATATCGTTAGCAACAGTACTGTGTTAAACGGTGCTGCTAACAACAGTACATAAATCTCATTCTGAGGGAGTTTTAAGCTCCTCCTTGTCTTTTGCATAAACCTGAGACTTTTTTGGAATGTCCTGAAGTTGAGAAGGTGAGTAGCATAAGTGCAGCAGTGGGTGATGGATGGATAGCTATGAAGCCCACAGGCTGCAGCCCGATCTTTCAGATGCTCTGTTGTAGTGGTGGCCAAGGAAGGTGGCAGTGCCAAGTTTTCCGTAGGTGTCCATTCTATATTCATTTTACTCACCATCATAAACTGCAGCAATTGTTTCTAAGGTTGTTGTGGATCTACTTGTGAATGGCAAGCTACATAAATTTGAGTATATATATATTTAAGCTATCTTAGTAATATATATTTTACATATTTTTCTTAATTTTTTGTTTGTTTGTTGTTTTTTTAAATTTCTGGGGCTAAAATATACTGTGAAAATATAATCATTTCAGACTTGTAGGAAACAGTGTTGGTACTATATAGAAGGTACAAAAATATACTTGGGAGTACTGCGAAGGGTAGAACCAAGAATGCCAAAAAAGATAACTATTTCATACATACCAAACACGCATTTGTGCTTGATAAGTAGATGAGTTGTTTCACAAAGTATCGCTTGTCTTTTTTACAAGTGAAATGCACGTGGGTGACAGAAGCTTCACAGGGATGCTGTGAAATCCTGAAGGCTTTGAAACATTTGCTCTGAAACAGGGAATCTTGCAATTCAAAAGGGTATAGAACGCAGAGTTTTGTTATCCTATGTGTTTTAGGATTTTGTTAATCCTGTGTGTTAGCTAAGTGATTTCAGTGAGCTGTGTGTTACCCAGTTTACCTGTATGACCAGGTTGCAAACCTGAGGTTAATCCTGCCTACATTGAACATCAGCTTCTAATTAGACATAGAAATGAATGGGCTGTATTTCCAGACATTCCTACACAAGGTAGATAACTCCTGTCCCTGAACAGGATGCTCTGAACATCACACTGCGTGCCTGCTTTCTCATTGTTGATCTGGCCAAACCACAGGCAAGAAAAAGGTCAAATCTTTCTTACCCTTATTTCTTATGTTGTAACTGAATTGAAAATGGAGATGTTTTCAGCCTTCAATTTAGCAGATTAAACTGGTGTTCAATAATTTGAACTTCTGCCATCTCCTTTCTCTCTATTGTTGCTCAGTCACCCTGAAGGCTATCAGTTGTTGTAGTAGAGTTCTGGTCATAGTGTTACGACTGACATTGAAAAATTATGTAGGAAAATATTATTACTGAAATAAGCAGCAAACTTATCTTTCTGTTATCCTTTCCATAAGCAAATGCCTGCTATCCCACTAATCTGTGTTTATATCAGGGAACCTGTGCTCAGTAGAAGTACAGTTTATTTACATTCCTGGCAACATCTCAGCTTTTTACAGTCTGCATGAGAAATTTCCTTTAGAGAAATTCTGAAATAAGCTGCTACTAAAATGGAGTCTAGCTTTGACTTACAAAAAGTTGCAGTATTTAAAATGCAAATTATTGAATTATAAATGTTTAGAATGTTCAGGATGAGGGAAAAGAAGTGGTCTGTGCATTAGAATTATAAAGCTGTGCAAGCATGTATTGCAAATTCTTACCTGCTTTCCTGAAGATTATATATGCGTGCTCATACTTTTTCATTTCTTTGCTGGCACAAAACACCTTTGTTAGGATTTTAAGATATGATGTTATACATTTTATGTTATTGGAAAAAAATCTAGTACACGCTGACGATCGGGAAAATGAATATAAATGGTGTCACCTTTAACAAATGCTTTCTTGCATATAAAGCAATAGTTACAGGATTTATGCAATCAAGCTTTTCCAGTATAACAGTGTTTTTAACAAGATTTGAGGGTCTAAAATTGACAGTTATAATTAAAGCTCTGTGAGCTGATACACTGATATTTACTCACTTCTGTCATTAAGTCTCTCTGTCACAAAGCTGAAGATACACACTCTGAAATGTGTTCTTTTTTTTTTTTTCCAAAATCGAGTATATTTGTTCCAAATAGGGATACCAGCATTCAGATCCTGTGACTGCAGTGACTGCTCAGCAAACAATAGAATGCACCCAAAAATGTTTCATCTGTCACTCTACTGAAGTGATCATTCCCATTAGCTTCTTTTTGTGTGTGTGTTTTGTTTTTCTATTATATTTGTAAAGCTCTGATTAATATTCTATCAAAGCCTATTAAATTAGATTTTGGTGTATATTTGGTTTCTGCTGTATCAGCGGTGTTTTTTTTTAAGCTGAAATTCTGTATTAAATAAAAAGAGAATTCAGGACAACAGCCTTCAGGGAGTTTGTTGACTTAGGTTATACAGAAAAGCAAAATAGCTAAGAAGAGCTGGAATATTTTATTTAACAAATGATGACAACTATGCATGAAATGGTATAATATAATGTTATGTAATTCTTTACGTTGCTATGTTGCTATATCATTTGTATCACAAATTATGCCTTTCAAGTTATTCTGTCTGAAGCTTAAAGGACAGGTTGCTATAGCTCAGTGCCTTGTATCCCAACATATTTGGCTCCAGACCTTATATATTTGGATTCAAGTAGTATTAATAAAGAAGTTTGACAAGTACCTGAGATAGCATGAGGATTTAATTTTACTACTGCATTAATTTTAATACTGCACACATTTTTCTTTTTTCAGAGATCACCAGAAGACATGGAGAACCTTACCTGGACTGCATACACCTGCATTAGAGTGTAAAATGGAAGATCGCATTTTACAGGTTATCAATAAGGTACTTAGCAATTCAAGATAGAAAATGGTTTCAACTGAAAAACAAAAAACAATCAGCAGTATTTATTTTCCCTTATCCAGAGGCTCTGAGCCTTTGATATCTGAACGATAATAGTGTTTACAATTTTATTACATATTTTTAATCTAAACTTTCTATAACATTCTACCCTGCTATCTCCTTCCCTAGTTTGCAGAAACATATTTTCTCTATTACACCTGTTTCCTTATTCAGCACAGTTAATAATTTTTCTTGTAGTCATCTAACTTCATTTGTATTAGGAATTAATGAAATATACCTCTAGGCTGTCTTCTCACTAGCTACAACAAAAAAAGAGACCTACTTCAGCTCCTAATGAATCATTCCTTGTTTGGGGGAATGCACAGTACAGTTCACTGAAATTCCATTAAAACATTTGATATCCATTAAAACTGAAAGCACAAGTGTATTATGTTTAAATGCAGAATAAGACAGAGTGGGCATATAAAAAATGAAGGAGCACTTACAAAAATGATTGAACCTCTTTCAAAAATTCTAAGGCTTACTCTGGAAGAATTCCAAATGTTGTGACCGACCACAACCACCTCTTAATTTTCAATACTGTGACCTGTCATAGTCATTGCACCACTGTATCCTGAGTATCAGCACTGATTCTTTTGCAAGGTTGTGTATGCTCCAAGTTCATCATTTCAATGTCTCTAACCTACTGTGCTTTTATACTGCCCAGGTTATCTTAGTGTATATTTTTAAGGTTAAAAAAAAATTATTTAAACAAGTTCCTAAAATATCAGATTTACATTTTTTTCCCATTTGCAAGCCTCAAACCAGTTACTTATATTTCTGTGCATTCATTTTTAGCTTTTCCCTTTATAATGAGTAGTACAAATATGTAATTAGCTGAAACTCACCTGAATACACCTCGAAGACTTATGCTGTTCCATATGATGATGACTTTAAGAATTGGATACTTAGTCTTTTGCTCAAGGTGAAGTCTTTGACAAGAGAAAGGTATTAATTTAAACACTGCCATTCTATTTCCCAGTCCCTTACAGCTGCTTAAAAAATTTTTGATGACTGTGAGAAAAGGAAGGAGAGGGAAAGAGAAGGGACAGAATGCTGATCAGTTAGGGGAAGAAAAAAAAAAAAAAAAGAAAAAAAAGAAAGATTTTTGTAAGAAAGCTGGATTTGAAAAATTTCCTTACCTGAAAATGCAAGAAAGCTTTTGTGGTTTGGTTAGATTTATGTGTTTAAGCCAAAAATACTGGAGTTCTTTCTGTCTGTGCTATCAATGGCATGTATCTCTTCTTCTTTCTCTCAATTTTTTTTCCAGTTTCTCCTGGATTAAAACGTACAATATAAGGTGAGTAATGGAGTATTAGATATTGGGAAGGCTCACCATGAAGCTTGCCAGAACCCAGTAAAATGGAGAGACAGAAGACTAGATCACATTAAAATGTATGCACAAAGCAGTTGCACGGAAGGAAGTGAATTTCAATCTTCGTTTGTAATTCTGGAAAGTGGAGAGTTTACTGTAATACATTGGTGAAATACTGAGGAGTAACACCAGATGCTTTGGGGATTTCTGAGAAGAAAGCTTATGAATCATAAAAGTTGGCTGTCATTTCTTGCCAGCAGATACCTAAATGTGTACGGTATGTTTAAAAAAAAAAAAGAAACCTAGGAATCTTTGACTGTGGAAAATTGGGTCATTGCTTCAGCTTTTCTAAGTCTCAGTGAGTGGTATTCCATCCCTCAGGGGTGCTGACCACACCACACCACTTGGCATCATCTGCAAACATGCTGATGGTGCACTCAGTCCCACTGTCAATGTAATTGATGAAGATATTGAAGAACATTGGTCCTGTTATTGACCCTTGAGGTACACTGTTCATCAGTCATCTCCATCTGGACATTAGGCCATTGACCACCACTCTCTGGGTGTGAACTTGCAACCAGTTCCTCGTCCATTGACCAAACCGCACATCAAATCCATATCTTTCCAATTTGGGGACAAGTGTCAAAGCCCTTAGTGAAAACCAGATAGATGACTTCAGTGACTCTTCTCTTGTCCATTGTCCACCATAAAAGGCTGCTGGGTTGGTCAGGCAAGACTTGCCCTTCGTGAAGCAGTGTTGGTTACCCCTATCAGCTCCTTGCCTTCCATATGCCTTAGCAGAGCTTCCAGGAGCTTCTGCTTCGTGTTCTTCCCCAGCACGGAGGTGAAGCTAACAGATTGGTAGTTCTCTGGGTCTTCCTTTCCATTCTTCTAAAAATGGGTGTGATTTTTCCTTTGGGGTATCCCAGAGTCCTTCCCAGCCCTCACTTCTCTGGCACGAGGGTTGAAGAAGCCATTCTTCTCTGGCACTTCCCTGCTTGGGGACACAGGCCACATACTTACTCCGCTGCCTTTCTTCTCTGCCAGAGGTCCAGGAAAGTCAGTGGACATACAGCACTGTCTGTGTTACAGTGGGCAGGATGGGGTCACTGGCCATATCAAAGTTGGCAGAAGGTGGGTGGTGGTGGCAACAGGTGGGGCAGGCCTACAGCTGGAAGCAGAGGTGGGATGAGTGCAGGGGACGAGAGGGGAAGGGGGGTCACCACCTCATCTTCCTGCAGGGGCTGAGCCCTCGGCCCATCTGTAGGCTGTGAGGGAGCTGTAGGGCTTTTGCCTGCAGCTGCAAAATTACTTCATTCCCTCTTTCTCTCAGGGTCCGTGGAAGAAAGTCTGCAGGAGAGGACCCATCACTGCTGGGCCATGGTTTGCAGAGTACTCCCTGTCAGGCAGCACTGTGACCACCATGAAGCAGGACATGCCAGGCATGAGGGAGTAGAGTGACTGACAGCAAAGTACCCACACGTCTGCTGGGGAGAGGTAAGTGGGGCAGCCCAGCCCAGGGATGGGTCACGTCTTCTCTTAGAGAATATTTGTCCATGCACTGCTCTTACACTGAATAATAGGAGATGTTCAAAGTTTGTACAAGGAAAAACATTCAGGTTTAATTAATTCAACACATGATAAAAAGTATGAAATAATCTTCTGCATATTCTTTGTACTGGAGACAAGATTTGGTTGTAACATTGAAAACATAGTTTATTTAATGCAAGACCTCGGTATTTTTGTGTGATGATTTAATCAAACATGCTGAAGTTGGAAATCTAAAGGTTTCAAATAATTCATTTTAATTACTTAGGCGTCATTTAATCAAAAAATCTTCCATGGTAATAATTATCATTATCGGTCCTTTTCTCACACATACTTAAATATTTCATATATTAATATCAAACTTGATTACCGTACTTCCTGAGAGCTACAAGCTGCTGCATTGCAGTTGCTGAGGTAGTGCTATCTGAACGGCTCAAAATGAGCTCATTTGGGTATTGGAAGCCAGCAAAACACTGGTAACACACCTGTTTGTTTGGGTTAATATAACCTATTAAGAAGCATGATAAATTAGTCTCTGTGGAGTTTCTTGCTATCGCAGTTTGACTGCTTCTGGAACCCGAAGTAGAGCATTTTATTTTGGCTGGCAAGCTGCAATGATAATGCATCTCATAAATTCCGAGTCTGGAATAATTCCTCAAGAAATAACAGAACTGTTTAGCTGTAAAGACAAACAGTTGTACTGAGGAACCCCTTGAGTTTTTCTAAGATTCTCAGAGAAGAGCACTGAAACAACTCAGACAGCACAGCTGAGACCATTTTCAAAGCAGAGGTAATATTTGATTTATGTCAATAACTATTTCTCTCTATCTTCAATCCCACTCGGAGCCTTGTCTGGAGTGTAGCTCAGCCTCAAGGTTCTGGGGCCTTCAGAAAGGGGTATCAGTGTCCCTGAGAAGTGCAGACAAGAAACTGAATTCTGGTCTTGTAAAACTTGCTAAAGTTTGTAAAAATTGTGGTTATTAGAGACCTATATTAGTAGCAGGGTAAATGAATTCTTACCACAGTAATGTAGATTACTGATGTCAACAAAATAGCCTTGTATGAAAACAGGGTCCAAACAACGTGCATTCTTGTTATCAAAAGATTGCAGAAATATCTGGTGTGTTATGCTCAGTTCTGAAAGTTTCCTCAGACCCTCTCAGAACCCAACTTGCTTCACTGTATTCAGTCTCTTATTTTGACTTTTTCTGTCTGTATGTATAAAGTGGTCAACAGCCCACCTCCCACTCTGTAGGGCAGACTGAATCTGAATTTGTGAGAATTTTTCTCTAATCTTTATTCATATCATTTTATCTAATCCTAGGCCATTCACAAATTGTTGGAAACACAAGCCAATTTTTTACTGAGCAGTCTCCTTGGTGCCAGATGTGGTCCTTTCACCATATTGGTGTCTGGCAGCTATAATTAACTGGCATTTTGAGGGCTAAGGGAAAAATAAGGGTAAAATTCTGAGTTTATTGCTTTAAGTAGACATAGGATGCAGTATAATTTCTACCAGTCCTGGAGCTCATATCCAGTGGCTTTCATTGTACTGAACATGTTGTGGTTCTGTTTTGTTCCTCCAGGCAGTAATAGCTCAGCATGAGATATTCTTCTTGTTTTCCTTTGTAATGTTTGGTAGCGTTTCATCCTGCAGTCTCTGTAATGGAAGGCAGATTTGACTGTTTTGGACTCCCACTGGATTTTAAATATGTTTTCATCAAGTTTGTTTATGAAGTACTTTCACAACAATAACCTTCTTTTACAATGACTTCCTTGTTCTAGATATGTGAAAATATTTTTATGTTTTGTGTCTCTTTCCAAATCCTAATCAATATATTTTGGTCCACAACAATATATTTTCCTATCTGCACATAAAGTTAACAAGAATTTTTGTACAGCTTCCTTCTGTATACCTGCTAACTGTTTTTATGAAGCAAGGGCTTACTGCTTGGAGCAATACATATATAGTTAGGACTTACAATATGACATTATCCAATCTATTTTAAGCGTTAGAAAATAAAATCTTCTATTAATATCAGAGACCATATGAATATGCATTAACATTAAATTTCAGTGCTGAACTACCATTTTTTTCAGTAACTCAATACAAAAGGTTCAGTGTTATGATTTCTCAGTTAATGATGAAAATCAGTTTTGATCATGCTGTTACAAAAATAGTTGGCATTTAAGTAAGCAGTGAAACACTCTGTTCTCTATGATTTTTTTAGCTGAGAGAATGGACAAAAGCAACTACATTTCTTGAGTACATTGCGATATAACATTTCCATAGAGTGACCTTCTTGACTTAGAATAGAAATAGGATAGATATTGATAGCATGAGCTCATTTAAAACTATATGTTGATCCTGAAGAAAAAGAAACTTTGTTAAGAGGAATTAAGGTTGGGAAGATAAATGACTGTTTACATGGGTTGATAGTGATGGGACAAGAGAGAGTGGTTTTAAACTGAGACAGGGGAGGTTTAGGTTAGATATTAGGAGGAAATTTTTCTCACAGAGGGGGGTGAAGCACAAGGAGGCTGTGGATGCCCCATCCTTGGAGGCATTCAAAGCCAGGTTGGATGTGGCTCTGGGCAGCCTGGTCTGGTGGTTGACGACCCTGCACATAGCAGAAGGGTTGAAACTAGATGATCATTGTGGTCCTTTCAACCCAGCCCATTCTATGATAAAATACTAACCTTTTGGGAAAATGCTGCAGAACACCTTTGTAGCAAATGCATAATGGTCTGGCATTAACTGCTCCTTAAAAGAAACATCAGTGGCCTAAAAACCTGGAAATCTAAAGTTTAGGAAAAAAAATGCTAAAAATGTGAAATCTTATAGGATATTGAACTACTGAAACCGAAAATAAGATTGTAAATAAGATTTTTTTGATAATGTTCAATGTATTGGAGTAGCCAGTGGTTACACTGGTAAAGAATAGTCCAAATCTTGTCAGTGATCACAGCTTGCTGACTGCTTACATGCACTGGAGGTGACAGCATGGCTCCTTATGTGAGAATATCATAATTCATTCATGAAGTTGACTGACTTTATTGAAAGTGATCTGGTATTATGTTGATTCATATATATATTTTTTTTTTCATTTATTATGTAATTATTTAGATGCATTTAGAAATAATATTTTAATGGTAAATACCACGATGGTGGCAACGCTCTCAGTAGTCTTTAACCCAAAAAAGTCAATGAGCTGTGGCACTAAGCAGAAAATGATGAATGAAGGTTGGGAGATTGTCCTGGATGATCTCAGAAGGGTCTTACCTTCAACCTAAATGCTTCTGTGATGAATGAGATATTGAGAGCTATGACTGAATAGTTTAGGGTTTGGGATTTGCTTCATAAACTTAGATGTAATGAGGAGAACTGCCATAATGACCATGTGGCTGGTGCAGAACAAGCTCTGTCCTCTGATGCCTGAGAAGCAGGGGGCTCAGCTCCTCACCTGGGACCTGTAGCAGTCTGCTAAAGCACTTGTTTCTTTCAAGGAAGTGCCCGACTCCTCTCCATTTCCCTTTCTCTTTGATATTCTGCAATTAACCAATATTTGAACCAACACTAAATCCTCTGGAAGGGGAGTTTAGCCCACAGCCCACACTGCATCCTAGCAGCTTTACCAATTTGGTACTTGATTTCAAGAAATTCTCATTTAAAATATTAGAATAAAAACATGCAGTTATTTAAAAGAGAAGGAAAAATGTACAGTAATTTTCTTGGAGAAGGTTTTTATCTTAGAGCTGTCAAGATTCATTGACGTGAGTGGAAAGATGGTGGCTCAGGTCTCCGCTGAATGGAAATAGTAATAGGAGCAGCAAAACAGCTTATGCCACTCTTCTCCTGTGTGTGTTTCAAAGAAAACTGGGAAGATATGAAATAACACACACATCCTGAAATGATTGTACATCTGAGGATATCTATGTTTAGGAAAATTAAATGCTTTTCATCTCTCAGCAGTATATATCATGGTCAGCACATCCAGAATTAATACGGGTCCAGAGAAAGCAAACATCTGAGCTCAATCAAACTGCCAATTCAATCCATGACTATCTTTTCTGTCTTTTCTGTTTGTTCTTGTTTTTTGTGTGGTTTTTGTACTGTTTGCATTCTAGTTTACATTCAGCCTCTAGAAAGAAACGTATGTTCAGCATTCAGAAAAAGGGAAGATTAAAAATACATATGCACCTAAGAGATTCATTCCTTCACCAAGAGTCCTTAATGATTCCAGTCACGTTAGGCCCCTTTTGGAGTTGTAAGGGCTGTCACTCACTCTACACCATAGCCTGGTATTTGAAAGCTTCTTGCTTGCCTCTTGACATCTCTCCCTCTGTTTGACTTGTTCAGCTTTATTTCCTTCACAGTAACATGTGGCCCCAAGGAATTCATTCTTTTCCTACCTATACTCAACTTAAGCCATTTAAGTTCTATTTTTCTTGAAATCTGCTGGATTTTTTTAAATTTTTTTTTTTTTTTTTTGGTCAGCAATGAAACATTATTTTCACCTTGAGGACTTTAACTCTTAAAAGTTTTGTTACTTGTTAGTAAAAACACAGTCAGATTCTTTCTGTTTTCACTTCAATGCCTTATTAAGTGAGAAAGTTTACTGTACAACCTTCTTAGAATACATTAATGAAAATTAATTCTCTGTTAAAAAGTAAATTTTCCAAATTATCCTGCAGAAGCTTCCTGTATGGGGCAGTTTGTTTTATTTTACATTTCAAATTAAACTAACGAGCTTGTTCAAAACTGCCTGAAGTTGAAAATTGCACGGTGATAACTCTATTAAAAATTAAAGTGGGAAAAACTGGGAGATTTATAAAGACTTTAAAGCCTGAAGCTTGATAGTATGGAGAGTTCCTTTAATCTCAGTCCAGCTATTGAGTTTCTGTTTTTCTGATCCATATTTATAAATTCTAGTGCCATCATAGTCTGG